CGAAGAGGAAGTAACGATTAAAATATCGAGTGACAGAAGAGATTCTAGTTCGTTGAGATTGGGTTTATATTTTAAAATGCTTTGAAACCCGCATTTGAAAGTATACAATTTAATAGGGTTAATTTTCAGTTTCTACATTTGAAAATATACCCGATGCCAACTCGGCCACTGATGCCATAAATGTTAGGTAAAGGTACAATTTAATACGGTTCATTTTAAAATTCTTTATTTTAAATTATACGCGACTAAAACACTGTCTCTGACGTCATGAGCGTTGTGTAAAGGTATATATTCCAAATAAGCAACATTTCATGTTCCATCGCTATCAGGAATAATAGAAGTGGCCTCTCATTTAAAATAAAACGGAAATAACAGAACTGTCAGAATATTTTAGATGGAAAGATCATAGCCTGTTTACTATTTTTAACAGTTTTTAACAAAAAATCATTAATTGTTTTGTCAGATACCGATAATGTCTCCCCGTCGGTGGGCAGCCTGTATATGAATATCCAGCTGTCTATTTACATAACTAAAATTCAAGGCTGTATGTCACGATACTAAATTAAGTACTAAATTTAAAACTAAATTAATGCATTTTTTAAGTACTAAAAAAAATTCACGTAGCAAACAGCAAATTTAGTACTAAATAAATTAATTAATTAATTAATTAGAACTTGTTCTATTTTCTACTAAATTTAGTACTAAAAGTGCGTCGAAATGTTACGCAGAAGTTTTTCACAGAAAAAGTTGACACGACGGTATTTTCTGTACCATTTTGTTTCTAATTAGCGAACATTGTGCATTATCGCCTTGAATAAAGTTCGCTTGTCTGATTTTGTAAGTTTTATTGTTTTTTTCGTGGTTTAGTAGCATTGCTGTATTTGGTTGTTGTCAAGTCAAATTGATAATAAAAACACCATTTACTTCACTTACTGCCTATTTTACACAGAATATTTCATTTCTCTGCTTATTTCACGTATTAATACGTCAATGCGCGTGCGCCTATAGTTAATTTAGTACTAAAAATTGGTATCGTTGCAAACGGAAAAAAATATTTTTAGTTCTAAATTTAGTACTAAATTAATGACTTAATTTAGTGCTAAGTTTAGTACTTAATTTAGTATCGTGACATACAGCCTTTATGTAGGTTAGATTTCCAGACATAAATCTTGTAATAAATATAACAGCTGCTAAATACATTAATTACATTTTCATTAGTCAATGTAAAAATGTCTTTTATTGTACCTAAATGTCGTGTAATTAAATAATAAAATACAAATTCAAGCCAAAATATTACAAACGGTCCTGTAAGGGCAGTGTCATATAGCCTTGAAACACCGGATTTAAGTGGTATTGCCAGGTCAATATTGAATTTGTAGGTGAATCGCTTGTTGTACATTAATACCGTATTTGTATATATTTTTGGGAATGTAATTACACATAAATATTATTAGTTGATTATTTAAATGTTTAGAAGTTATTTTGTGGCGATATTTCGTAGATATAAACTGTTTATATCATATAATTTAAAAATAAATTAATTTGAAATTATTTTGTGTTAGATATATATACTTGGCAACACTACAGGGACAAGTCATGCATACTGCGCATGCTTCTAGACACACTATTTTGCGATGTCAGGTGCAGAGACGTGTTTTTATGCACAGTAGGTTTCAATTTCTGCTTAAATGTTATATTTATATTGGTCTTCTATATTATTTCTATGATCCAACTCCTCAAATATGGTGTCATCTTATAGAAGTACCAAAGAACACAAATTCAATAGCACATTAAACAATTTTATTCAAAAATATGACAACCGTTTCGGCCTTAGGCCATCATCAGGTCTACAAAATGAAAACAGTGGTGTTATAGTTAGGTGTGTGAAGCTTAGTCGTGTTACATACCTAAAAAATATAGTACACTGGTATTACAAAATGAGACGTCTCCAAATACATTAAACAAAACATAAGAAATCAAGTAGCTGCTACAAATAAACCCTCAACAAGAGGTAGGGAGTAAATAAGTACAAAATGTGAGAAAAAAGAGGAACATAACTACTTTAAGTAAACATGAATTAATTAAATATATCCAACGTGGAGTTGGCAAAAGTTACTGGCACGTTATTAGGGTATGTTATGTTGGGAATGGGGTGTTAATACACTGCGACCTATTGTGTCCCCTTCTGTCGCTAATGCACCAAGGAAATATCTCAATGCCTATAACGACCCTTCCAATCCTATTTTCACAAGGAAGTGTAGGATTTGGAGTGGCTTCAAGTTAGGTAAATCTCCCTCTTCTATTTGATATCCTCCTAGATATAGTGTCCTTGGATTCTGGTGTGCTACACATTCAGTTAGAATGCGAATGGAGGTTTCGTCCTCCTTCTCACAGAATCTGCACTCACTATCCTCTACTACTCTCAGTTTACTAAAGTGTCCTTTTAGTCGGCAATGCCCGGTAAGGATCCCTGTTACAATACATAGCCTGTTCTTGCTCAGGCAGATGCAGGGTTCCGATCTTTTCTGGTTATATTTACCCAGAAGTATATTAGCCCGTCTCAGCCCCAAGAGATTGTTCCAATTATCGGTTATTAGGGTAAGGAAATGGCCAATGTATATAGATGAGTTAAACCAGAAATGTGATATAATTAAAATTACTATTAGTGTGGGAAAATCGTTGGGCAGCTAGTGCAAGGAGTGCCCAGATGTAAGTTGACACCCTCAACCAAGCAGTAGATGATACTCCAGTTGCTCCCAATGAGCGTATGGGAGTAACTTCTTGTTTCGAGGTGCGAACTATCATTATATTCGCAGTTTTCTCCCAAAAACTAATAACATTTAGATTTTTTCTAACCATTGTTTTTGGACCGTATTTTTATCAGCCTAGTGACAAACACTTTTTGGTTATTCCAGTGATAATGATAGTTATGTTCCTCATTTCCCCGCAGTTTGTACTTATTTACTCCCTACCCCTTGAGAGTTTATGTAGCAGCTACTTGATTTTTTATTTGAGGTATTTGGAGACGTTTCAGTTTGTAATACCATTGTACTATATTTTTTAGGTATGTAACACCACTAACATCCACACATCTTTAACTAACACCACTGTTTTCTTTTTGTTGACCTGATGATGGCCTAAGGCCGAAACCGATAGTCATATTTTTGAATAAAATTGTTTTATGTGGGATTGATTTTGTGTTCTTTGGTACTAGTATAATGTTGTTTTGTCCTTATTTTCCATTCTAAATCAGTACAAAATAATTAAAACACAATAGACAACAAAATAACCCATATTCTTGAAATCTAAATAACTTTAACAAGCAATATAAACACACTACAATAAGTCATTGAGAATAAATGCATACGATTTTATATTTATCAACAAAAGAATGAAGTTAATCATATGCAATTAACAATATAAGAAAGTAGTAATATTGGTTGCCTAGATGTCAGTAATTTTTTTACCAAAACACAATTTTATAAATAATCTACTCAAAATTAAAAAAAAATATTGTATATGTAACACGTTACGAAATGCCGTTTTATGTAACTTGTTCATGTTTTGGGACCTTGCTCTGCTTGTCCCGCAAATATTCACTCGAAACATAAAATATAAGGCATTTCGTAACTGGTTTCATAAATAGTTTTTTTTTTATTTGGTGTCATCGGCATCAACTGCTAAGGTTATTAGCCTCGTGTTCTGTGTAGGCTTTGTTACTGTTTCCCAGCGCTACTTTAGGAACAGCATTGTTAATTAGAACCCAACAGTGAATGGTCGAGTGGGGGATCCTACCAAGGCATCAGAATTAATTTTATTATTATTGAAATCAATATAAAATACCTATATGCTGAATAGGAATATTAAACTGCTAATTATAGACAGTCAGATGGCGACAAGTTTAGTTGCCCCATTTTGCATACAAGCCTCGAAGGGGGTTGAAAAGTACATCAATTTTAAGGAAAATGAAAGGAAATTTACGAGTGGCTCCTGGTGATAACATATGGAAAATTCGATTTTCTCTAATAAAAAATGAAAGGTTATTTGTTGCCCTTATATTCACGCAAGCCGTGTTCACTAATAGAACTAGGATTCGGAAAACCAAAGGCTTTAATGTGGCAAAATCAAGATTTTAACCAGTTTTTCCACACAAGCCCATCAAATATATGAAAACGTCAGTCACTAGCTAAGGAGTCCCAAACTTTTTCAGTTTGCGGTGCACAACCTGTAAGTATATTGTCTAGGCGCACTAGGGTTGTCAGATTTACGAAACATAAATTTCTATTATATGACCCCAGGTCCTTCTGGTGAGTGACCCATTAAAATGAAAAGTTAGGTGTACATGTGAATGGTGTTAATTTTTATTTACTTACTGACTTACTATTACTAATTATTAAAATTCATTTTTTCTAAACTTGAGTCACTAACTAAAATTATTTAAAATAGGTAAGATACTCATACTCGTTACTCAATTTTTCACAAGTTTCCTCTAAAATTTGTAGTACTCATTTGCTTAGAGTATTATTCATATAAGTACTCAAACTTAGATACTTATGAGTGCTTTGTAAAGCTACTCATTGTGAAGTACCTACTCATGAATACTTTAATGCAGTACTCTGTCCAGCTCTAAGTACATCATGCGACATCGAATGAGAGTAACTTTTTAGAGAAAAAATTCCATAGTTTCTTATTTTCATGCCAGAAATGTCAAAAAGTAACAGATTAAAAAAAATGGGAAAATATATGTTACTCTCCTAATGAAACCCTTATGATCACAATAGAAAAATTGTTCCTGCTGCTTTTAATTGTCCAAGTTTAATATTTTAAAATGGCTGAATTCTGAAGATTAAAGAAAAAACATATTTTTATTTAACTTTGTTGACCTTTAGGGGTCAAAGAGGCAAGTTGGTTAAATTGACTTATTTTGAACCCAAAAATCTGTGGTACCTCCATGTACACGAAATTTCTGGACACCTTGTATTTTAAAAACTGTTCAATTTCTTTGGTTCCTTTATTTAAAGTAAAAATGACTAATAATAATAATATTTATTTTTTTAATTAAAAATGCAGGACTATTTCTTTTTTAAATATTTTAAATATTTTTTTGAATCAAATGAATCCTCAATATCATCCACAATTTTAACTTTTTTCTTTGGTTTTCTATCTTCTAGTCTTGCTTTTCTTTCGGCTTCACTTAAGGTCCATATATTTAGAGGTAACTGAAAAAAGTAAAATTGGAAAAGAATAAGCAATTTTCTTGTGAACAATTCTGTGGTTAGATGACAAAACCATGTACTACTTAAGTCAACACCATATCGGAAACTTTTTTATTAGTTTTATGAAAAAGTTATTTTTAATAAAAAATTACGAATGGTCTAAAATAAAAATACAGTTATTGGATATTAATTTTTTTTTAGCCATATACCAGGTTTGTTGAGAATTTTGAATTAGGTATATGCAAAAATACTATAATGCAAACCATTTTCCAGTCTGGTCATTCTCGATCCCTTAAGTCTCTTTCTACTTTTTAGGCCTTTTAACAGCCTTAACTTTTACCGTTACCAAGAATATTTAATATAACAAGTCACCTCCGAAACCCCTTTTTGATCCGTCTATGCCGGGCGAAGGTAGATGCTGGGTCTGAGAAGTGTATGAAGCGAACAGTGTAGAAGTTTGCTGGAAACATTGCCAAATCTCATCTAGTACATTCAAGATTACCTGGTATTCTTCTAGAACAGTGTGGGGCACCACATTTTTATACAAATAGCTGAATTTTGTCAACTGAATAGGAGTTGAAGGTAAGAGATCAATCAGTACACATTAATATTGTTTATATAAATTAGTATATAAGTAAAGTCAATATAAAATAGTGAATAAGTAAATGTCAATATAAAATAGTAAATAAGTAAATGTGATAAATTAGTGTATTTAGTGTAAATAAATTATAAATTAATATACTGTTTAAAATAAATAAACGTTATAGTACCTTTATGTTTAACAATATTAAAAATTGTTGTCAAGAAAATTTTATCAGAATTGAAAACTAAGGTCAGATATTCAAATTTACCATGAAAAACCAGTTTTATGATTTGCAAAATAAAATGTATATTTTGAATTTAAATTGCTCCATATTAAACAAGCAAGTACATCTATTAATAATTCAAAGAAACAGGAAATTAAAAAAAATGTCAATGAAAACACATTTTTTTGAATGAAAAGTTAGTCCAAGTTATTAATGCCATCTCAAGTTATTATTGGACTAATTTTTTCTTAAAAAATATATATATACCACCTGCTGTATTTTATGCACTTCTATAAGTTGGCAAAACGATATAATATGTGAATTCCTTTCCTGTAAGAATATACTGTTCGTGTCCAAAACCAGATATAACATATTTTCAGTATTTGGAAAATTCACATATATTATTGATTACTTATTTTTACATTTTCTAACATATCTGGATTTGCCATCTAACCACAATTGAAGAGGTGAATGGAAGAAGGTGTTATCTAATAAAATTAGTATTCTGAGAAAACAGTCTGCAAAGTTTCAAATACTGAATCTGAAATTACTCTTACAAATATTCAAATATTTTCAGAAATAGTAGAAAGAAACTACTAAGAATTTTTGTGGTAGATATCGACATAATACCTTCATTTAGATATAAAAGCCAATTTTTAACAAAATGTTAGATAACCCCTCTGCCATTCACTCCTTCAATTATCATGTGGACCTAATACTTTTTATCAGTTTTAAAGAGAATCAACTTACTTTAATAAGTTTTCTTGGCTCTTGGTACCTAATAGTAATAGTAGAACCATCTGAATTTGCTAAAACTGTTGGATATGTTCTTACATAAATACTCCTATGTGGTTTTGTAATGCATGCGGAAAATGAATTCAGATTTCGTATTTGTATTAAAAATTTTAAAGAACTCATCTTTAAATGTAATCACACAATTATCTAAAATATTTAAGCTTTAAATCCTTAAATATATATATAAAATTGAACATCAAAATATACACCTCATATCACATAACAAAGTAAACAATATAACCTCAATTCTAAATTTTCTACTTCTTCTCTTTATTCCTTTTTGTTTATGGACGCTTTTTCTTTACTATTTTTGTAAATGGTCTTGCTGGCAGCAAAACAAGCTGACTGGAAGCCCTCGATGTAAGTGATCTCTTTCAATCAAAAATCGAAGAACATATTAACCTTTGTGAAGTTTTCGTCGTTTCCAATTTTTAGTTTAATTTAAAAAGTAAAAATGTTTTTTAAATGAGAATTTAAATACTAGTGAATTAAGAAATATAATAAAACTTAAATTTACTAATTATGATGATTAAAGAGCAAGATCACTTTATGGTAAAAGATTACTTTCTTTGATTTGTAGATATTTTATGTATAAATTGTTTTGTTGTTAAAATGGTTTTGTTAGCACCAATAGTTTTTATTTATTAATTTTTATAACAATGAACTTCAATTATATATAAATAGTATAAAATCTAAAATCAAAAGTGCCATGATGTTCATTTAAAGCATTGTTTCAGGCAGGTGTCCAACATGCCCTAAGACTGCCACTCAGAACTCGTTGTGCCGAATTAACGGTTTTATTGGACAGAGGAAATTTGTTGGAGCTACACAGCTTTTTTCCAGTTCTAATAGATAATATATTTGGTCCTCAAGGCACCCTTTCGTGGGGACTTAGAAGTACAACTGAATCAGAACATGAAGATTTTAGGCAGTTGCATCATTTTTTGTCTCCATGTGGCCCCATGTTTAAATTGATTTACACTTTGCTGAAGGATCCTAATATTAGATATGAATTTCCTTTGGCTTATTTGCCAGTAAGTTTTCAATTTTCTGATCTATTTTGATTAACAATTACCTTCTTTTAGCTAAAAATAAGGCAGTTTCTGGAAAATTCCCATGGACATCCATTTTACTCTGAGTTAATACATATAAATATTCAAACTAAACAAATTATGTCTTTAATGCTTAGTAAGTAAAAATAAAATTTGGTTTGTTGTTTCCTCCCTTGTATCTTTACCTAACTGGAAAAGCTTTTTGAAACTAAATAATTCTTTGTGACTCAACAAAATTGACAATTGTTTTGCTTTATACAAAAATAAAATACATTTTAAAAAGTATTCAAATTTAAAAACTAAAAAACTATATAGTAAGCCCATTCCATTTAGGTAGTATACAGATCAGTAATTTAAATTCATGTTTCATTGTAGATTCGTTTGACTATTATATGTTTCACTTTGCTTATCATCTAATAAATCCATGGCAACAAAGAGCAGGATCAGCAGTCACATCATGGAATACAGTATATTATGTATTATGTTGTGATTACATCGTCCATTTTCTTCCAACTGATCCAGCAGTCACAGTATTACCAGTAATATATTACAATGGAAAAAATCCTTTGCAAGCTGCCAAAGCAAACTTACTGTAAGCATACTATTCATTTTCTATGTAAATAATAACTACTAATTTTTAAAATTCTTGAATTGGAAAGAACAATATTGTCAGTACCATTCTAACATTATGAAATAAAACATTAAAAAAGCTTAGTAAGAATTTTAACTAGTTTAAATTATAAATCACAAATGTGTCGAATCAAAAGTTTATACAAAGATAGGTAAACTTTGTTTTGCATTACCGACTAAATCCAAATTTTTTCAAAACTAATTTTAAAGTCTGTTAGTATACTATGAAAAATGCTTTATTACATAGTGTTTTCCAATTATATCATAAGCGACTCCATCTGACTAAAATATGCGCTCAAATATGAGGATGCAATATAATAATGTAGGCCTGTGAATTTATTTTGCTGTTGGTGATCTATCAATCCAACGGAATTATGTGCCTGACCTGTTCTAAAAGCAAATTAATGGTATCTCGGAAGAATAACATCAAACCTGATGTTTTTAATTTTTTTTTTTCATATTTTTTCATTTATTTTTTAAAAAGCCTGAAAGTCCCATCTTTTTATGTGACAGTGTTTCACAAGAGAAAAAAAGTGTGTCATTAAAAATATAGGAGTGTAATAATAATTACCCTGTAAAATATAACAAGTTAAAAAAAAGCTGCTATTAAATAGAATAATATTACAATGTAATAATTTCCTATACTTTTAGTTGATTAATAATCATTATCCATAATAACTGATAATCATGATTAATGCTGTAAAATCTAGTGGTCAGCTTGTCTTGTTTTGTCAATGTTTTTATATTGTAACTGTAAATTGTTGAGCTGTCATATTTTATTAATTCCTGATATTATCTATTGAATACAACTTTTGATATCAGTTTTATGGATAATCATGGATGATACCACAATATGTGAACATTTTTTGAGGTTTGTTTGGAAACTGTGTCTAAATTTTACAAATCAAAATCCTCCTTAAAATACCACAAGACGTCAGTTGAGAGGTATTTCGATGCAATAGCAAATGAGGCAAGTGAAAAGAACTGCTTGACATACTAACTGTATTTACCATTTTTAATGCTGTTCAGAAGAATAGCTATTTACTTGAATTCAGTCATTTAAAACATTCACTACTGATCCTTATTAATGCAGTAGCAATCACAATAAATGGAGAGCTTTTCTACTGGCTTATGTGGTTTTAAACTCTTATGTATTATTCAACAGCTATATGACAATGCAATGTATTAAATCAGTTGAATGTTGTCCAAAACTATATTTTACGTGTATTTTTTTTTAAGACAAACTTTTTATAACTAACCTATTATATAATCAAGATATCCTAAATATTTGATGTATGTCTTTACTATATTAGCAACTGTTTATGTCTTTTAAATATAAAAATAAAAATTATATCAATCATCTCTACCAAACAAGACAATCTTAATATCATGATACCATTTAGAAGATATGATGCCAACCAGAGATTTACTGCAATCATGGTACCAAAAATTTTCAACATACTACCATTGAAGATTCGAACCATAATTGGGCATAAAATGTTTGTTGAGCAGCGTAAAATTTCTTGTTTTTGAGAAAATAGAATGCATTGTTTAACTTCTGTAGTTTTGTAAGTATATATCGTCGGTATACAAGAGAAGGTGACCTAGTCAAAATTTTTACTTTTTTTAGTTTGTAATGAACATGTACCTTAATAATGTATATTTTACATTTGGGTCTTGCACATAAGTCACTTAGGTGTATTTATTTGTAAAAGCTTAAGTATTTTGTTAGTATTATGTTGTTATATCATGTATATTGGATATAATTCAATTGAATAAATTGAAATATGCATGACAAATAACTCATAAGTACTACATATAATTATCTACATAATCACATCATTCTTATTATTTAGTTCAAACTTTTCAATGTTGAGCTACCTAAATCTCCCTATCCTACTCTATGCAATTGCGGGCGGGATTGTTACTTTCTTTCGTAATTTTTCTTCATAATTCGATATGTTAGATTATACCTGCAAGCTGTAGGTTATCTAAATTGATCAAGCAAGCTACCAATACCTAATGATCAATGGGTTGGCATCCCCTAATCTATAACACACAATTAAAATGGGTTTTTAATATTTCGATTCCTCAATTCTGCTAAAAAAATTAGTGATATAACATTGTAACAAAAAAGTTTGTGGGAATCACTATAATTTTTAAATTTTTAACTATGTTTTTAGTGAACAGTCACAAAATTCTGGTTTGATAACAGGCAAAACATTAACTCAATCAAAAGAAGAGCCATTTCACAATAATTTGGATATTCACCATCCAAGAAACGATATTTGGAGAAGCGAAACAGTTCTAACAGTTTTTACAGATATGTGGTTACATAATAATCAAGTCACTGATAATACAAGTAATATGAATTCTTTCAATATTCCTCTAGTTGCGCCTACTGCTTCTGTAAGTAAATTATTTTTGTTTTGTTTTATTTCATGAAACATGTTTTTGAATGTTATTCCAACGTGTACATTTCAAAATGGCAACAGATGTAAAATTAGCTGTTAATATATCTATTATTTTTATTATTTTAGAACTCTAAATAAAAATATTTTTTTAGCGTTTTCTCCAACACAATGAACTTCCAACAGGTGAATATATGAGAATAGTTCGTGTTTTAATAAAGCAGCTACATTCATTTCACGCAAGTGCCAAAGCAGATGATACACATTTAGGGGAGTTAAAGAAAATTTCCATACCGATGATTCAAGGCAAATTTTATACATTTTTAAGAAATCTTATACACCGTTGGCCTTTAGATGGATCTTTTAGACTAGTTTTGGAACTGTGGTTAACTTATATTCAACCCTGGAGGTATCCACCCAGTAATTTGATTAAGCAAATGTAGGTTTAATTTTTTTGAATTTAAAAATTAATTCTATAACTATCTGTTATTTAATTGTAGAAATAAGAAAGAAGTTAATCCAGATATTGAAGATATTTCAATGACACCACAAAATGAAGTTGATGCAGAATTCATACCTTTTATTGTAGAAAATTTATTGACATATATAGTGATTTTTCAACAACTTTTGCCTAGATTTTGTAGAGTTGATTTAGTGAGTCCTAAAATGTCTCTTATGCTGTATAGGATAACAAAGGTTAGTTTTAGAGCATAAAATTAATGTTAAAACTGCCAGATAAGCCAATGAAAGAAACTTAAAGCAATCATTCTAGGTGTCCCACAAAGTTCTTAGCTCGAACCAATACTATATATTACTACATGAAACTTAGAGTCTCAGTGTAAGTGGTTTAGTCTCGGGTTTAGTTCTAATTCCTCGTCACTGAACTTTTGTAACTATTTCTAAAACTAATATTGAATACAAATATCAGATGGATTCTGATAGTTTAAAAATTATGCAGAGAATCAAGCGTTTTTGTTAAATGGCCAAGTTAATTGGTCTGGATCATGTAAACTTGAAAATAACTGGAAATTTCCTTTTGAAAGAGATTACCTTTTGTACCTAATATGTTGATTTTAGGTTTTTGATCAACCTAATCTACCTCAGTATCTAAGAGAAATCGAGCATTGTGTAGACAACAGCAGTTCTCCTACACATAAATATAATAACCATTGGGCAAATTCTTTACCACCACTTTCACCAACGTCAAATTGGAGTACAAATATGAGTTTATCCAAAAGTACGACAATGACTTCACCTGATACTACTCTTAACCAAACAAGGACAGGTTTAAATACCAGCTCGTTTTTAAGCAGTACCAGAGTGCCAGCTGATAAAAAATGGGCGCCACTTGTTAGGCAGAAAATCTTTGATTTAGAAGGACCTAATTTTTCTTATAAACCTTTGTTTTCCAACCCTCCAGCTTCAGAGGTAAGATATTTGATTTTAATTTTACAATTTACAATTTGATTTTTATGTTTACAATTTAATATTACAATGTGCAAAGGTTAAAGACTTAATATACATTTTATTTTAATAATTTATAAATTAATTTTTTTAAATCGAATATAAATACAGTTCATAGTTAAACAGTACATTAACTTTTTAATCCAGACTCCAGGAGAACGGTATAGAAACACAATTCTATTGAATAGACAGAAATAGAATAATATGTGGCCGACTATGGACCTCACTATCCCATCTTTGACATCGAAAGGGTGTGTGGAAAAAATTAATTTATTCTAATATTTTTTGTACCTAATGTTATTCTATCTTTATCGTCCTCTGAAATTGCAAATGGAATCACAAAACACTATCTGTAAAACACTTTAAAAATTATTCAATAAGGCATATAAAAAAATATCTAAAACCAGCCATATCTTGATGGAACCTTTATAGCCAGATTTCCTAGTTTTACATTTTTTTAATAAAATTATTTTGTGGTCATAGGAAAAATATTATACACCACTTGTGTGAGAGTGATTTTTCACTCGCGTGATTGTCGTACTCGGCTTGTACCTCGTGCGACAACATTTCCCACTCGTGTGAAAAATGTCACTTTCCACGCTCATAATATACTATTTTTTTTAATCACACATACTTGGTAAATTTGGATCTTATTTGAATTAATTGGTGGATAAACTGATGAGATATATCTTAATTGTTTCAGGTTCTTGATCTGATATTTTTAATAAGAAAGTCAATAAGACACGCCGAAGAAATTGTTCGAGCCAAGGAAAGAGATGAACAGGAAATGTTTTCTGGTTTTTGGGGAAGCATTAAATATTTCTTTGTAGGCAGTGATACGAATGATGAGTTTACACTAAAAGAACGGCAAAAAGTGCCACTTCATCTTCAAGTAGCTCTACAGAATTTGATAGATATGTTCAATATAAACAACGAGGTAAATTACTTTGTATAAGATATTAAGATAAGAAAAAATCATAGCTTCATGAGATAATTTATATAAAAGAAGAAAATAGGAGATGTTTGTTTTAGATTCAAGAAAGAGATTCTGAACCATCGAGTTATGTGTCTAGTGCAATGAATACTAGTAGTGATTTTCTAACTCCAGAAAAAATAAGGGCTCGAATAAAGAACATAAGATATGAAGGCGATCCAGATCTTTGTCCTATCCAGAGTACGGAAAATGCATTTTTAGTTAGGACTCTATATCAAATTTCTCTTAAAATCAATGAAATTGTAAGTATTTAGATTTTTATTTAATTTTTCAATAAACTGTTCAAAATTATCGCACCACTAACAGATTCTACTATTATTTCTATGCTCATCTATTGTACTAGTGAGTTTGTTTCTGCCCTTTTAGATCGTGCTTTGGTTTTTTATGTTCTAATCATATAATCTTGTTCTTCTAACAAAATTGATGAAACGCTTTCACACTTATCATTGGTTAAAAGGCAAGGTCGATTCATGTTTTTCAACTAAAATTGACTAAACTTAAATTGTCTTTGACATTATTGTTTTTGTGAATTGGTTCGTTAATAATATGTTTAGGGAGTTTTGAATGTTAATATCATTAAAATACATCAAACAAATTTCAAAACCATATAAGGCTTAAGAATATGGCTTTGAGATTTGTTTGATGTATTTTACATCTTGGTCACATTTGAGTTTGGAATATTTCCATTGTTAATATCATTATTGAAATTTAAAAAAGAGAAAATCATATGTTAATGACCGTTACAACAAAATGATTTGAAACTGTCGAAACAGTAAGAAACCTGAATGGTGCTGTAATTTTAAACAAGAGTTTGGTTACAAAATATTTCATTTTCAGAATAATTAATATTGCCCTTTTTTCAGTATGGTCCAACTTTTTATCAGCTATACCACAACCCTTCCTTCTTTGGTAGATTATCAAGAGAAATATTGTGTCCACCCATCACAGCTTACAGATACGACAAATCTACTCCTGGTTCTCCAAGAATGGGCAGCAACCTACCACCAAGACTGAGCCTTAGGTTTATGGCAAACTACAAATTTTTAGGTTATCTATTTTTCGGCGCCTTGCTGGCGTGGATTTTTGGTTACAGGATCGAAGCGTATTTTTTAGTTTTGATAGTAATTTTTTTTTTATACAAATGTTTAAGATCCATAAGGGGTAGAGAAACGTCCGTGAGGCATAATTATCCCACTCAGGGTTTTGGAAATATAAGCTTTAATGATTCTTTTTAATATATAATCAAGTATATATTTATATCTTTCATTTCACAAATATTACGATTAAAAATGTTATTTTATCCATTCACTTTTTATTTAATGGCAAGTTACAATTACAATATACAAAAGCCCTGATTGTATGCAGGAACAATGCAAGAAAAAGATGGACAACTGAACATTCTGTGATGAATGTAGTGATACCAATTATTACTTACCTGGGGTAACAGACCTAGTCTTGTTTCAACATCGATAATATTATTACTGATTTTGACGTTTTAACCCAAAATTAATAAAGAAAATAAATATCAAAATCAATAAACAAATAAATACAAACGCAACCATAGAAAAGAAAAATCTTTAAAATACTAAAAAATCTGATGTGTCCAACACATGACTTTCCAATCTAGTTATTATAGGCTTTTTCCGGTTATTTTGTATAACCTATTGTAGCACCTCTATAAATGTTTAGAGGATAAACTAAATATATACATTTTCCACATACATCTAACTCGAAACATTTTTCTATAGATATTCATTGAAAACAAAAATACTGAAAGATTTAAATTTAGCACTTTTCGTCCAGTTTTTCCATTACGGTCCATTTTAGAAAAATCATGTAAAAACAAAAATTATAGAGATCGATATCGCAAACAACTTTTAGTTTAACAATTTTCTCAAAAATCAGAATTTTTCACATTTTCTCAAATTTCTCGAATACGGACCATTTCAGGAAAATTTGACAAAATAAAAATTATAGATAATAATATTAGAAGTAATTTTTATTTAAACAATTTTCTTCTCCAAACATAAATAACAGATATATTCCATAAAATATAAAAACGGCCTCCCATAAAGTACCCGCCAGATGTTCCGACTTTGTCCAAAATCTAACCATTTCACGTCAAGCCGAAATTAAACTTAAGTTTGAAATTTAATGTTTTTTCCTTTATTCGTTTTTGAGATTTTTTCAAAATTCGAAATTACACATTTTTTCAAATATCTCGAATACGGTCCATTTTAGAAAAATTATGTATAGGATAAAAATTATAGAGAATTATATTACAAACAACTTTTATTTGAACAATTTTTATAAAAAATATTTTTTTTACATTTTGTCAAATTTCTTGAATACGGACTATTTTAGGAAAATTTTGTATAGAACAAAAAATATTGATAATAATATTGTAAGTAACTTTTATTTGAAGAATTTTCTTCTCCAAGCGTAAATAAGAGATATATTCCATAAAATATAAAAATGGACCACCAATAAAGTACCCCCAGGTGTTCCGACTCTGCCCAAAATCTAATCAGTTCATTGGACGCCGGAATGAAGCTTAAGTTTAAAATTTGGTGTTTTTCTTTGTATCGGTTCATGAGTTATGGTGGATACAGACACACACACACACACACACACACACACACACACACACACACACACACACACACACACACACACACACACACACACACACACACACACACACACACACACACACACACACACACACACACACACACACACACACACACACACACACACACACACACACACACACACACACACACACACACACACACACACACACACACACACACACACACACACACACACACACACACACACACACACACACACACACACACACACACACACACACACACACACACACACACACACACACACACACACACACACACACACACACACACACACACACACACACACACACACACACACACACACACACACACACACACACACACACACACACACACACACACACACACACACACACACACACACACACACACACACACACACACACACACACACACACACACACACACACACACACACACACACACACACACACACACACACACACACACACACACACACACACACACACACACACACACACACACACACACACACACACACACACACACACACACACACACACACACACACACACACACACACACACACACACACACACACACACACACACACACACACACACACACACACACACACACACACACACACACACACACACACACACACACACACACACACACACACACACACACACACACACACACACACACACACACACACACACACACACACACACACACACACACACACACACACACACACACACACACACACACACACACACACACACACACACACACACACACACACACACACACACACACACACACACACACACACACACACACACACACACACACACACACACACACACACACACACACACACACACACACACACACACACACACACACACACACACACACACACACACACACACACACACACACACACACACACACACACACACACACACACACACACACACACACACACACACACACACACACACACACACACACACACACACACACACACACACACACACACACACACACACACACACACACACACACACACACACACACACACACACACACACACAGACAGACAGACATCATCGCGAAAATAGTCAAAACGGATTCAGGGGACCCCAAAAACGTAAAAATCCGTCGAAAACTGGAGGTCGAAAAAAAATCATGATTCCTATACTTTCCTTATCTGTATACAGATAGGAAAGTAAAAAACAAATATCTTCAATGAAGAAACAAAATAATTAGGACAGAACTGGGGACTCTTTATAAAGCTTAGGATTGATATTTTGTTTAGAAATCTCATTGCCACTATGTGCTACTATATATGAGTTTGGCGCCAAATCAAATGGTACCAGGGTATTCTTGGATTCTTTATAGTGATAAATAAAATATGACGCACTTGTTCACAACTATTTTTATTTTATACTCTGAACAATTAAATTTCACCCTTGGGGATATATATCCTTGTGTGCCTGCGCACATAGCAAGTTGATACTCTACATTGTGCTTATTGGACATACACAATTGGATCAATTAAACAATCTGAGATTCGTAATGCGAGACAAGCAAACAATATCAGAACTAATTGTTATCGTTTAACTAAATCACAAAAAAAACTCAATTGACTATATATACAATCTCCCACCTACTCATTTTACATGTTTAAATCTAAATAATTTCAAAAACAATCTAAAAACATTTTTCTTGACTTATTGTTTCTACTCTGTCAGTGAATACCTGGAACAATGTCAAGTTAGGTAACATGAACATGCCACCTTATGCCTATTGTTTATTACAATTTTAAATAGGTAATATAATATTTATTTTTTAGTGTATTTTACATCAATTGTATCTATGATTTGTTACAAATATTTAAAATGTAACTTTAAATAAAACTCTATTCTATGAGAGCTAATATCTCAAAGGTACAAAGCATTGCATGTTTGTATCATCAGTGCAATGATAACCTATCATACAGTCGCAATTTAGGTAATCATTTAAGAGCAAACCGGACTTCTCGTGAAAGTAAACATGTTTTAAGGATTTTCTAATATAAAATTGTATTTATATACGCGCCACTGGGAATATTTCGTGATATTATGTTTCTTGAGAATATTGAGAGCTTTAAATTTGTGCAACGATAAGGCAGCACTCTACAGAGACATTTAAGAAAAAAGATGGGAAATACTCCCATTTAAAAACTACTACATATTTATTAAAACAAAAAGCAGCAAATTTTCATAGATTTAATACAGAATGGCGCATAAATGTTTTTTTTTAATTCCATTTAAATTTTTTCAAAATAAATACTTTTCGAAGGTTTACAAAAAAATCAAGGTTTCTCCATCCTAAGTATTATTATTGTTGGTATTTCCTGAAAATTTCACAAAAATCGTATTAAAAATAAATGCTCGGAATAAATTATAAATTTGCAAGGTGTTCGGTTTGTTCTTACTGGTAGAGAACGTGGCAAAAAGGACAAGATATAAAATAATAAATTCATCTAGTTTTAAAACTTTGATGAAGATAAATATAAAAACTTTAGCTACAGAGACAAAAAACAACAGAAGTTAAACATTAATAATTTATTATTTTCAAATGGAAAGACTTGTATTTCGTGCAAAACTTACAACTTACAAGTCTTTCCTTTTGAATCTAAACTACGTGCACCTTTTTTGGTTATTTTAATAAATAATTTATTAATTAAAACAGAAATACACACGTACATTTTTAAAATAGCTATGTAGATTTTGATTTTAAACGGTAATAACCATAGCAATGCCAATGACACCTAAGAAAAAAGCAAGTACAAGAATCCTACTGGTGTACTACAATATAATTAACAAACCAAAACAAAACCAACTTAAATATTTTCGAAAAGATCTATGAAAAACATCTCATTTAGGGTCAAATGTGTTCAGAAAGACCATGCTAAATACCAACATTAAAGTGCCCTAGATTTAATACTACCTACTTAACTAAATCAAAAAGCAAAAACAAACTTCTTAAAGTGGTCTAGCAATAGCCACGTCATTTAAATTATTTGCCATATCTCTTGACGGATAACGAATTCCTGGCTGATGCCTTCCGTAGGACAAAAACCATATTACAGAGCAGAAATGTCCACACATTCCTTAAACTCGTGCATTTGATTTGCAAAGACTTGCCCAGCCAGTTATTGCGTTTACTCCAATTAGTTTGCTGTTATATTCAATAAAGCATTTTCTTTCGGTAACAGCTTGAAATCTTGGAAGGTATTGAGGTTCTTATCAGTTGGGTATTATCATTTTCGGCATTAGATTGACGATGTAGTCTTACCAAATAGTTGCCGTTGTTTATATGTGATGACGTATAACTGTACGATAATTGAATCTGGTATGTACCGAGTGTTAAGTCCTGAATTTCATCTTCCGGTAAAATTGGAAAGTCTTGAAAGTCAATAATTCCGTCTACCAGCGGCCAATCAATTCTACCTTGAATTAGGCGTTCATCTCTAATTCTGTCTAATAAATTATTAGGGAGAATCAAACGTTCCAAAACCTTGTCACAGTATGTGTCATCTTCAGGCCCACTTTCATTTATAGGCACAAAAAAGCATTGGATAAGCACATATTACTTTAAAAATGCTTCCAAATGTTTCACATCCGTAACTGTTTGGCACAACATTTCTTAGAAACCGAGACTTATTTTAAAGTCTTCCAAAAACCGCTTCAATTATCCATCTTGACCATTGTAATAAGTCTTGATTCATTTGCTTGCTGAGTAATTAGTTGACGTTGGCCGTTGGGAAGAAAAGGTGGCATAAAAACATTTAGTCCCATATTTTGGCAAAATTGCATCGAGTCTCGATAACCGCGATCATATAAAATGCTGTCACCTTTTTGAAAAAATGAAAAAAATCCGTCCTCGTTAACAGCCATAGCGTTAAATATCGACGAAACATTGTTTCTAGCATCTGAAGCATGCGGGCTGGTAACATCAATAATATATCCGTCTGGTGCTGTTAAAACCGAGAATATAACTAAATTCGAGCGTTTTGGCAAAAAATATGTCATTCGCCGAGTAAGATGATCAACAGGTTTTTTGTGGTACAAGTACCTATGTGGCATCAACAAGAGCTACCAAAGAATCAGGATTAACGTGACACAAACAATTTGAGGTAGTGGTATATACTGTGATAAGTAGCGTATTCTTGACGAGTTGTATGTTGGTACCAAGATGAAGAGGAACAAAGTGAACTGTGAGTCAAGGACATCGTGGAATATTTTGCTAATAAGATATTGTTGCTTCGGTTTCATGCTAAATATCTTGTTTAAAACTTTTTGAGTTGGATCATTTCTCAGTTTTATTAGAAAAATAGCTACGCAATTTTTTTTGAAACTTGTCTTCTAGGTGTCAAGTTATTGCAGTTACCTACAACCATTGCAAACTGCGCTTTACTTAATCCGGTTAAGTACTTGCAATCGTCGTCATCCATATTTTCATTGTCAAAATCGAATATCTTGCTTTTTTTCTTCAAGAGCTACTATGCGATTAATTAAACATTCATTGTCACCATGAGTAAGCTGCCTAGGAGCAGCCCGCAATCGCAATAGAGCAACACATTTTTCAGAAAAGTAACCATAATCAAAATGTTCCGGGCATGACCGGTTCCCCAAGTTGCAAAATATCCGGTTTTGAATTCATAATTCGAGAACAGCTTCTCTCGAAATACGCAACCGTCTAATAACACCGCACAGGCAACGAGATCTTTGATTATTTGGCAATTTGAGCGGTAGGTTTTCGCCATTCTCTTCACCATTTTCAATGTCTACCTCGTCGTACACATTTTGAATGATGGGAATAGGATCTTGTTGGATATTAGGTTGTCTTATTTCATTGCCTTAAGAATAAAAACAAACAAGATTTATTATGTTGCTACTATAAACATTGCTTTACTCTACCTTGTCGAAACGTAGCATAGCATTGGGTGCAAATGCGCGAGTTTCCTCCAGGCTCTACCCGGTCAATTTCTCTGCGTGCTCAAATATTCAGTAGAAACTGCCGGTAGGTTTCATTGTTGGCCGCTTTTGAAATACTTTTTTTATTGATGTACCCATCGCACCCAAAACACTTTATTGGGGCCATGTAAAATTATCGAATATAGATACAAAAAGTGTAAAAATAAAAAGGTATTCTAACTAATTAAATAATAAACGAATTGAACAGAAAATGATGCAACAAAAAAATATTCTAAATAAATAATAAACGAACTGAACAGAAAACGATATAATAAAAAAATATGCCAACGAATTGAAAAGAAAACAATTCACACTTTTTGTTATCAACAATAACAAGAAAATGTTACTTCTGACAATTAGTCATTAAAATAATTAAAACGAAACGTTGCCACATTAAATTTATTGACATTACTCGTTTCTAAGCATTTAAAAGATTTACATTTGTTTATCAGAGACCCCCCAAATTACCCTATCAAAAGGATACCCTCCTTTCTCGAATAGGAAAGTTTTGTATATAACAAAAAATTATAGAGAATAATATTAGAAGTAACTTTTATTGTTTAAAGCATTTTCTTCTCCAAACATAAATAACAGATTTATTCTATAAAATATAAAAATGACCCCTATAAAGTACCCCCCAGATGTTCAGACTCTGCCCAAAATCAAATCAGTTCACCGCAAGCCGGAATAAAATTTAAGTTTAAAATTTGATGTTTTTCTTTATATCCGTTCATGAGTTATCGTGGATACAGACACACACACAGACAGACACACACACAGACAGACAGACAGATACACACACAGACAGACACACAGACAGACACACACACAGACACACACACACACACACACACACACAAACACACACACACGCACACACACACACATATCATCGCGAAAATAGTCAAAACGGATTCAGGGGACCTCAAAACGTAAAAATCCATCGAAAACTCGAGGTCGAAAAAAATCATGATTCCTATACTTTCCTTATCTGTATACAGATAGGAAAATAAAAATCTATATTCAAATCACCACCACATATGTTCTCAACAGTAGGATATATGAGACCTAGTATGTCCTTAAATTCATTTATAAAGGAACTATATATTGCACCAAGAGCAATAACTTTATTTTTTAATTTAATATTTACTCATAACTATTCTGAGAGGCTTGAATTACAATTTATTTGTTCACAGCATATTTTATTATTTATATAAATATATAGTCCCCCTCCTTTTAACCTCGATGTCAGTAATGTTTTACGAAAACACAATTTTATAAATAATCTAGACAAAATTAAAAAAAAAATGTATTTTACACCCCAGACAGCACACATAGTCCAATGGACTATTAGTTGCTATAAATTTGGAAAGTTTTCATTTGTGTCCGTGTGTTATCTCCATAACCAATCATCTGTAGAAATGAACCATTTTTCTGATATGCAGTTAAGGAAATTTAAACGACTATAACACACTAACAACTACTGTCATGCAGTCAGATAACAATTTGCTAAGGTCAGGCGTTTTAAACAAAAGTAAACAAAACTATAAGTACAACTTTTTTTATTTCATATCGGTAAGAAGGAACGCTGAAATGGTTTTTGCTTACTTTCTCATTATCAAGACCTATATGGGAAATAATAGTATTGAGTGTGTTGTAGCGAATTTCTGTAATCAAACAATTTTATTTTGTTAATGTTCATTTTTGCAATAAATCGGCAAACATTTAATATTTCCGAAACAGGTATAGGACATAAAATATGTCTAGAATTTTCTGAAGAATCCAAAAATTGAAAAATATACAGGGTCTTGAGTTTATAATAAGAAAGTTTGTACTGGCCACTGTTACATGACACACCCTGTATAAAAAGATTTTTTTTTATGCGCAATTAAAAATAGCAATCGAAGTGTCCGAGCGTTTTTCCGAATACCGAATTTATTCCGTTTGGCTGTTCCACATTGTATTTCTCTATTAAACGGTTTGACATGTTGTAAATAAAATAAGTATAAGGACTTCAATGAAAGCGTTTTATAATTTATAACTTTTATTACAAAAACCTTTTTTTTTTAGTACATTTCATAAATAGTTTTTAAAGGATAAACGACTATGCTAAATGAAACATAATTTTTGCAGTGTTCAAGTCGCCAGTTTGGTGCTACTGCTGTAGGCTAAAAGTTTTGATTTACCATAAATACAATTTTAAACCAAAAAATCTGAATTACAATGGACTATATAACTTTCTTTTTTTGCGAACACTTTCAGATTTTTTTATCTGATTAGAATTGTTAATATTTATAACGTCTGAACAAATTCGAAGAGGTGGTAAATTAATTTTGTATGAACGCTGATTATTTCCCTTATTTACAGAAGGACCAGCTTTAATTACATCAAATCTTTTGTGGCTGTTTTGGTCTGATTTTGATTCCATTACCAAAGGTTGGTAACTTTTAACAAATTTAACAGAATTATTGTCTTCAACGTTATTCGATAAATTTGTTTTCTGTAATGATGAATTGTTTCTCTCAATATTTTCCGATCTGACAGATTGACTAAGATTTTGATATTTAATTGTGGATGAAGACGAACAAGAACTTGATGGTCTTCTTATTTGGTTGGTTAAATCAAAGTTCTTTCGTAAGTTTGACGATGAATATATACTTGAAGTACTATTTCCTAAGTCAGATCTAGTATTAAATCTGATGCTATTTTCGTTTTGAGAATTATTGTAAGTGGTATTTTTCCTAAAATTGCAAAAAATATAAAAATAATATGAACTTTATCATTTCACTTTAAGTGACGATAAGGGCCGTTTCTCAAACAACTGATGGTCAGTACTGATGACCAGCATGAACTGATCATCATTGCTAGATCCTGTATTTTGGAGTTATTTCCACTTACACTCAGTTTAACTCGCCCTGACCTATTTCAAGATCACCTCCCAAGCACTACTTGATGGAAGAATCCTGTAAAGTTGGCCTGGCTACCAGGGACATAGCAACATTACGGGAAATGAAATCGATAAGCTTACTGGAACGGTAACCCTTTTACAGGACCTTAGCCACTAAATCTATATCCGAAAGAATATATGATGTCAGAATGATCCAATAAGACTATGTTATGTCAGTCCCAGCTCCTTACCAACGGGACATAAATAAACACCCGCTAACCATTGGATTGCAATGAGCCCTACTGAATGAAAGATGTCTACTATACATTAAATGTGATACAAGATGCACACGTTTCATGTTATATGTGGTAGTTTTTCTGACGCACTACAATACACACAACCAAAATTATATGGAATCATCTATTATTTTTCATAATTTTTGAGATGTATGAACATTTTTTGTTTATGAATAACACTCAGTCCTTACCGATGACTTTTAATGACAAATAACCCACATGGCAATAAAAATAATCAATTAGTTGACAAAATAAACACAATGGTATTGTTTTGGTATCTGAAACGAAATGAGATTTAAATTTTTAATCGCCGAAAAGCCAAAATCAAAAGAAAATTGGTAAATTAAACAATTTGTGTTACCACCTCTACTCCTTATGCAAGCTTCTATTCGCCTTGGCATGCTTCTTATTAAATTGTCAACATTGTCTTGTGGTGTGTTTTCCCATTCTGCTAATGCTGCATCAATAAGCTGTGCGACATTTCCTGCATTGTTTTGACGAGCTCTAACCCTTCTTTTGAGCTGGTCCCACAAGTGTTCGATAGGATTTAAGTCTGGTGAACATGCAGGCAAGTCTAAAACTGTGACACCTTTCGTTTCTAGACATTCTCTAGCCACTCTGCTGGTATGGGGAAATGCATTATCGTGTATAAAGATTTAATTATCCCTAATTGCAGCTCTCGAAAGCCTAACCATTGGTTCTAGCACTAAATCAGCATACCTCGGACCGGTTACAGTTTGTTGAAGAGGTAAAAATGGAGTTTTTGCTACCAGCATAATACCTCCCTAGAATATTACAGTTCCTCCTTGATATCTTGGGACAAATCTGGCAGCGTGGAGTCTCGCTCATCTTCCTGGAACTCTAAAAATCCGAATTCGATGGTCATCTGATCTTAGATCAATTCTGGTATCTTCCGAGAAAATAACACTTTGCTAATTCTCAAATGTACAGTTTTAGCGTTGAAGGCACCAATTTAGCCGGTAGTTTTATTTTGCCTAGATAACTATGGGATTCGTAACTCTCTCCCACTGTACAACCCTCGAGCGCGAAGCCTTTTTCTTAGGGTTTCAACTGAAATGTTCACACCTGAAGCTTCCAGAAGTTGTCGTTGTAGCTCTGGATGAGAAACGCTGTGATTTCTTCCAGCAATTTGACATACAAAGCGGTCCTGTTTTTCAGTTGTGATTCTTTGACGACTTTGTCTGGGCCTGTTCTTGAGAGTTTATAGTTCCAATTACCCTTCATATATTTTCGATACAACACCCTGGGTATCGCCTACTACCTTTGCTATGTCTCATTGGGACATTCCTTGTTCAATGAGAGCAATAATTATTCTCCTCTGCACATCTGTTAGTCCAACATAAGGCATTTTTTTGTTTTTTTTAGGACCGAAATAAAATTATCGGAGGATCGTGATTTTACCTCAGAGTAAGTAAGTAGTAAAGAGAGGACAGTAAACAATGTTTGTGTCGCCATGATAATATGGTCGAGAATTCTAATTAGAGAGAAATAGATTAATATCTCTATCTCTTTGTTTGTATTTGTCAGTTTTACAAAGCTTTTCTCAGACAATTATTCCAGTGTTTAATTTAAATTTGTTCGTGTTGTGGTAATAAAAGTAATTGTTAATAATATTATATTCATAACAAAAAAGTCATATTTTGTTTTCACTTCATTAAAAATGCACCTACCTACCTTTTAAAACATTAACCGAGCGAAATTGTTTTACAGTACGCTACTGCTGAGAATTCTAAAACGAGTGAGAAAGCCTTCATTAGAAAGAGAGATACTGATTATATGATAGCGAGATTAATATTGTATAACTTTATGCAGTGGTGGCCTATCTGCTATTATATTATCTAAGGATTTTACTTCTGAACACAAAATTGACAAGATAATAAATCGCAGCAGTCATTTCTTCTTTATTGTCATGTTTGTTTTGAACAAATAGCCCTATCTTAAAGTTGGGTACCAATTTTTTCCTTACAAAAAGTTTATTCAGAAATATACAGTGACTCCATATAAGTTTGGTTGTGTGTATTAGAGATGCTTCAATAGAACGCACTACAATATTAGAGATGTTAGTCTTTGCGAGAAGCACCAGTTTTATTTTGACTTTCACTCAGAGGTACAATGGGTCATGTGAAATTTAATTTCAGCGGTTAACAGCTCCGCCAACATTTTCATACGAGATAACAATTGAAAAACTTACAATGGCTTATCTCATGGACTAAATATGACATTAGAAAATGTTTAAAACAGTTTCTAGGATATGAAGGGGCAACTTAAATTATAAAATACAGTACTCGTCACCACCAACCCCCTATAGCTCAAATACAAAGTAGCAACCCCCTACTTGTCATACATAATACGCTAGTTCAGTGTGATGTCATTTTGGTTCTACTGACATTTAATTCTAACTAAACTTTTAAGAAAAAATCAATAAATTTGACTTGTACGTTCTTACTGTTTTTAGTTTATTTCTAAATATTGTTTACAGGTCATAAAAAATAGTTTAAAGGTACCTATGTAATTGGTAACTAAACGATTGTATATTTGATGCATGTTATCTGCTTACTTTAGGAATACATTTATAAAAGTCAAAAAACGATATAATTTAGTTAAACAAAACGAACAAAACGCACTCAAAAAATCTACTGTCACTTTAATTGTCAGAGGGAACCATAATTATATCATCACTGAACTAGCGCATTGGAAAGCTAATAAAAATGATTTTCAACAATATGTCTATACAGAGTGATTCAATACTATTGTCGTGCGAGGCATTATCAACCAATCCGGCCCTGATCTTTGTTTACGCCGTTCATCAGTTCGTCTCTGTCCCGCTTCCGCAGCCCGCCTTGAGACTCGAAAAGTTACCGGAAGGTTCTTTGCACGCAGGCCAACTCGTAGAGGAAGGGTTTCGAGAACGACTGGAGCATCGATATTCTTTGAGAGGACTGGATTTTTCTAGGCCATTCAATTCTTATACATAAGTGTATTCTTTTAGCGTTACTTAATTAGTTTAGAAATAAATATTTCGAGTAAAGATAAATTTTTGAAATAACTATAAATCAGTGTAGTTCTGAGTAAAAATAAATAAGTTATAAAATAAGTTGGTATATTTAGTGAATATAAATTAAAATAATTGAACTGTTTAAAATAATTAAACTGTCTAAAATAATTAAACCGTTTAAAATAAATAAAAGTGACAATATTTAAAAATATATTTTTATAATTTTGACATATAAAGTGACATATTTTGTAATCGCAAGGTCAAAACGCTCTACTTTATGCAACTGATTACGAAAAGTTGATTATGTCACTAGTTACAAAATAAAAATAAATAAAAATGCATCTTTTTTGGTTTTTAAATCGAAAAATGGAAAAAAAAGCAATGGATAGTGACATTCACATTTGACAATTTGACATTACGTTTAAAAACAAAAAAGAAAAAATAAAAGCTGTAAATTGTGTTTTATTTTTTAAATAATTGAATACCGTTATTGAAACTGCCCAGAAATATTGAGGGTAAAATTTTGACGTACTCCTTTAAGGATAAAAATTTTTTTTTCAAATTTCCCGCGGTAATGTTAAAAAGTCAGATCGGCAACACTGCACATGTTCCTTTTTATTATTACTATTAAAAAAAACGTCGTATGGCAATCAAATACAACAATTTTCTGTAATGTTTAATTGGAAGTACCTACAAAAGAATGATGGTGTAATCATTTTTTAACCAAACACAGTTTTATATATAAGTCAAAATGATTAGGTTTTACTTTTTTGATAACATATTTAGTTCATGAGATATAGCCATTGTAACTTTTTAAATTGTATCTAGCTCAGGACGAGGCAAAACTGATATTTAAATAAAAATACCAACCTTGGTATGTTTTCTACAATAGACGAAGTTCTGTCTAATTCCATTGGCTTTTCTTTATAATCTTTCACATTTTTTGAATCGTTAAGTTCGTTAAGGTACTGCTTCTCAATCAACTCATTTTTTACTTGTTGAATAGGTGTTTCTTGAAAATATAGAGTATTTTCTTTTTGAGGAGTAGTTTTCTAAAAAAAAGAAACTACTTATTCCTTATATAGACTATGAAAGATAGGGACGCGTAACTCGTATTTCATACCAAATATCAATTGGCCAGCAATTTTTTGGTGCCAGAGAAGCCGTTGTGTTGTTTGTGTATTTGGACCTTTTTTAAGAAAAGTTAATGAAAAACAGTATTATATTATTAATTATTACAATATTTAAACTAATTAATAAAGGGTGTTCCAATAAGACTCTGAATCTTAATAATAAATAAAAGAAAAATCTTTTTTTATTGTTACAAGTACCTACTTAATATGATTTCTTACAATTATATACAGGGTGTTTCACAACATATTCGACAAATTTTAATCACATCTACCATGTCACATAAGAAGTCGACAACACAATTAAAATTGAAAGATAAATGTAGCAAAAACCTAAGCAAAACAAAAGCCAATGGAGCCCATTTCGAATAGATTTTGCAGAAAAAAGTGTTATAAATTTTATTTTTTATCTTGTTTTCTGTTGGACTTTTATTACATTTTTTTTGTGTAATCGACTTTTTATATAACACTATACAGTGTTCTCTAAGTTTCGTACAAACTTTAATGTTTAATTTGACAGTGACAATTTGCTTATAGCGTTAACAAAAAATATCAAGTAAGGATAGTTCATAACAATGCAGGTATATTTATCTATAGATAAACGGTTAATTATAAATATAAAGTATACCATTAATGAGGCCAATTAATGCCTGATTTTATCAACAAATACTGAATGGATTAATACCCGGTCGACGGAAAAATATGTACAGTTCGTTTCACATTAAATACGTGTATAAGAAACCAAATAGGTTTTGTTTATATAGCTATGCCTACACTTTTCAGTATGCAACTGGGGCATGATCTGCTAATTATTGTTGTTTCATGACAGGTATAAGACGGGTGCAAAATAAATAGCACAACTACACTGAGAAATAAATATAGTATTTGTTTCTGTACGTATTTGATCTGTAACCGTACCCACGTACCTTAATAATTTATTAATTCCATTTATTAAATATAATACTGCATTTTTATTAAATTCAAAATCCTTTATTTAACGAAAAATCTCACAGATAATTAAATCTTATTTACGATACCTAATAAATAATATCTATATAACCATGTCCGTAAGAGATCCAATTTTCGTGCAACTGTCTGGGAACCATCCCAAGAAACACTTAACGCACTTATCTTAAGTGCGTTTGAGTAGTAAAGTTGTGTTCGATACACAAAATTTTCAAGGAAAGTAATAAATCAGCTACCCCCTTTCCACCCAGATTCGTTTTTCGCTGGGAATTAAGACACAGACACGTCACAAAAAGCCATTAAAACGGTTATAAGAATCCGGACCCAAATGAGCTCGGATTCATTCATCTTTATTTGATGTGCAAGCATTCATTTTATTATTTGTATCCAGTTATATTTCAAATTCAGTAGTCAATACCTTTCGTAAAACGCTCTTCCTAAAACAACGTCTATCCTACAATATCTCTTATCCCCCGAATGCTGCCAACGTCCCACGCCTTATTTCCCGTTTGCCGTCCCTAAATATTTCCTTCATAAAATCCTTGTCGATACCCTTTGTCACGTCCCGCACCACCTAAATATTTCTACCGTATACAGGGTGTTTCCGAACTTGGCGTCCAAATTTGTAGGGGTGGTAGTTCGCATAATTTGAGACCGATTCGCAGATTTCATTTTTCCAAAATATTTAAAATAAAAATAATTAAAAATTAATTAAAAATGTTAAACAGGTACGGTCCTGCACAGCGATGGGATCAATTCTCTGAACGCAAGGTAAACAACCCAACAAAGCAATACGCACTAGAAAAACAATAAGCTACGTCTTTCGATACCGGCCGGGGACTATTGCGCTACGCGTTCAGGGTAGGACCCGCTTTTTGATTTTTTTTATAATGGCTCTATTTTGTTTATTATAATTTTTTTAGAAAAATGAAATCTGCCAATCGCTCTCAAAAATCGCTTAGAAAATTATTTTGTGATAGATATTACTTTACCAATTTCAGTTTGCGTTTTAGTTATATTAAAAAAATCTAATTAAAGAATAAATTTTTGTTATTAGCTTAATTATTTTTATTCTATGGTTCTCCTACAGAATAACTGAATAAATGATCGTCATATTAATTCAAGTTATTATTTTCAAATAGAAAAATACTAAGGTGTTTGTGAAAATTTCAATAAAATTTGGTTCCGGTGGCATCAAGTTATTAATAAGAGACAAGGTCTGACTATATAATACACAATTTAAAAAAAAACGGCTTCAAAAATGAAGAGTATGATGATTATCATATGGATCTCATTAGCAGATCTTGACCAAATTAATATAGGACTACCCCTGAGGTACCCCCCCCCCCCATGGAGGAAGGGTAGTTACCCTCTTTCTAACAAAAAAGAATCATCGAAATTGGACAATGTAGTAAAAAATTATCGATGAACATACCCATTCCGACGAATTGACAACCTCTGTTGCAAATTGAAGCCAACTTATATTATTTATGTGTAAAAAAATATATTCTTACTTGTAACTTATTTTGCATCTGATTTTGTAACTGATTTTGCAACTGATTTTGTAATTGAGTTTGTAACTGATTTTGCAACTGATTTCGCAACTGATTTGCTTCAAATCTCAACTTGCACACATTATTTTGACATTGACGTAAATTAATTTTGGCTTCCGCAAGTTGACTTTTGAGAGTTGATTCTTTTTCATCCCATTCCAGAGCACTTGCAGCTTGAGCTATTTGCAATTCATTATAAAGTTCCCTTTCTAAAATATTATAAATATAGGTTATAACATTTCCAATAACTAAAGATTCTCATTATTATTCGACTTGCCTTATCCTGGGAACGTAATCCCATAGGATTATATTCAGCTAATATCGAGGCTAATACCTAAATTATTTTAATTTTTTATTAGTATTACTTTTTAGATGATTAGTAACAAAATAATAGCATTCCTGGTTTAAAGGAATACAAATTTGTCAGTCAGTCAGTCGTTATGACAAAAGAAGATGCCTATTATACAGGGTGAGTCAAAAATAGCGACAATTAAGCATATTAGGCCGATTTTTATCATTGGTCCCAATTAGTGGAATTGAGCATTTTTCATTAAAATATCTTTATTGGGACTCTATTCTTATGATAAGAATAATTTTCTAAAGTTTTGACTTTCTTCTAAAACATTAATTTTTTTAAAAATGTTTGATTTCTAAAAGATTTTAAATTTTTATTTCAGAAATATAACTATGAAATATTATATTTACATTTTTACGTTTCAGGCACAAAAATGTTTCTGGGATGTTTTGTAATATTTATACATTACAAATATTTCAATGTAATATTTTTGAAATATTTCCGAAATGTGTTTGTGTTGTATGGGAAGCGCCAGTTTTAATAACACAGTTTGCTCTGTGACTCTGTAGTACACCAGAGTGTACTCAAGATAGACTCAGTGGAGTTAAAAATACCTTCAGTCGTCACCGCTAACGGATCACCCACTAAATTACAATAAAAGACACTAACCTACCTTACACCTTGTACCCTACGGTACCCTGAAATGAAACGGTTGAGAGCAGGTAGTAAATGAAAAGAAAAACAGGAATTATTAACAAAATATATGTACAAAAATAAAAGTGTTCGATACCTCCGGTATATTAGAAAATAATTTTCCCACCAAATAAATTATTTATATACCACAGTTAAACAATAAAAAAACGTAATATTTAGAACGGTAATTACGCCGCTCCACGTATAGTAGAAAATAACTACTTCTCTATCAAATAAATTGTTTAAATGCAATGGTTACACAATAAAAGAAATATAAAATACCTAAACGGCAATATCGTCACCCCCGGTATATTTGAAAATAATTTTCCTACCAAATAAATTATTTAAATACAATAGCTAAACAACAAAAGAAAATATGAAATAACTAGAACGGTAATTACGGTGCTCCCTGTATAGTAGAAAATAACTTTTTTATCAAATAAATTGTTTAAATGCAATGGTTAAACAACAAAAGAAATATGAAATAGCAAAAACGGTAATTATTTTTAATTTGATTCGGAATAAATTAAACGTTTATTTCGGCACTCCTTGTATAGTAGAAAATATGAATCGTTCACCTAGACGGCAGGTCGGTCGCCCAAAGACAAAACTCAAAAAGAATGTATACAGCTGATTGGCGGCCTTCGTATGCTGGTAACGATGAGGTGATACGAAACGCGAGATTTTAAACAAAATTCTTTGGATTTTCGCAATCCCGATGGGAACGACGAATACTTAATTCTGTAGGAATTCGGGCAGTTCGTTTAGGGTGATTTTGAACGTTGAAACGAGAAAGTGGCGTAGAATTAGGTTAGGTTAGATAATTTACATGAAATTGACTTTCGGTAATTACGGAAATATTTTAAACTACGTGGAAATGTTAAAAAAAATAGGAAGTTCCAGGAAACAAAAATACGGAAGCTCTTCGGAACGTTCCCAGGCGGAAATTAATTAAAATATACATTCTTATAATTAATTAAGAATAAAATTTAGTGACTTCATCACAATATTTTAATTAAAATTGCTCAGTTCCACTAATTGGAACCAATGATAAAAATTGGCGAAATATGCTAAATTGTCGCTATTTTTGACCCACTCTGTATAATAGGCGGCTTCTTTTGTCTTAACAACTGACTGGCTGACTTCCTTTTAGAAAAACAGCCACTTTTAGTATTTTCAAAAATTTATAAACTTGCACATAAACTTCTAGTGATCTTTTATTACAATTTAAAAAAAAAAATCATTAAAATTAGCTGAGAGCCATTTTCATATGTATTTGGTGAGGAGTTCTTTGGCAATGTAGCATGAACCTTTCTCGCATATCGTGGCTTTTGCTATTTCTGTCAATCTGTAAGTTATCAAGATGAAGCAAGACAAATTATTATAACTGAAAAATGTATTTGCGTACAATAGTATCAAGTTTTTATTTATTTTGTTTGACGTAAGTATAACTAAAAATGATTTGATTGCTTTTATTCCGTCCTCAATCATGCTGGTCTATACAAACAACTAAATCATTTTCTACACCCACATGGATATTAGCTTATCTACTCACAGAGTACGAAACGAAAAAGTATGCTAGTGCTTTCAACTGAACGAATATATTTCATATACATTCCAGCTAGTATATACAGTGTGTCTACTTAAGTTGAAACCATATGGAAAACATTTTTATTATTGATTTTAGGAAAAAAAGTTATTCTTGATAAAAGTCCTGCATGACCCAAAACCTAAAATACAGTCATCACATATCAAATTTTTCAAGCCGTATACGAGGTGTCAAAAAATATGAATTTTGCTCAAGAGTAAAGTACGTTTATTTTTGACAAAATCGAAAATTTGCATTAAGAAAAGTTGATTAGAATTGAATATTACATTCAAATATGCAATTACACCGATCTATCTGAAAAAACAGATTTTCTTATTTTTTATAAACTCTACACTCTACACATTGATTGTAAATATCTGAAAACGTTATAAATTACGTTAGCTACTATAAACAATTTAGCAAATTTCTTAATGAAAATTTTCGATTTTGTAAAAAAATAAACGTACTTTACTCTTGAGCAAAATTCATATTGTTTGACAAACGGCTTGGCTTGAAAAATTTGATATCTGATGACTGTATTTTAAGTTTTGGGTCATGCAGGACTTTTTATCAAGAATAACTTTTTTTCCTAAAATCAATAATAAAAATGTTTTCCATATGGTTCCAACTTAAGTAGACACACTGTATATATATTTATTTATTTATTTAATAAAATAAATAAAATATATATATATAAATAACCAACCAATTATTCAGCAAATAAAGATGTGAAAGAAAACTTTTTTTACTTCTTCCAAGCTTTCGAAAATTTATTAATCATTTCCATCATCACCCATTATCCATGAATAATAATAATAACATTAATAATAAAATAATTAATAATAATTGTATTACCTTTTGTTTCATGGCAGATTTTATTGCTTTCTAACTGATTTTTTAAATTCGTTATTTCAATTTGTGACTTTTCTTCTAAATCTTTAATTTTATTTAAAAAGTCGTTTCGCTGTGATTCCAATTCATTCCGCAACAAATTGTTTAAATCTTCTTTATCTTTTAGTAACAGTTTATTTTCATTTTCCAACTTACTACATTTTTCTAAAGGAATTAAAACGTTTATTTATGCAAGTAATATTTACATTTATACATAGATAGATTCCCCAAGTACAAAAATACTTCACAAGACCTCTATTTTAGTGTTAAATCATTTTGAAATATTTTTATCCATACCTACCACCATACCTACTATATTTGAATTGGTTTTAGGTGAATATCTGCGCTCATAGGCCTGTCTGTTATATATTTGTAGGTAAGTTTTAGGCATTCCAAACAAAATTGCTACCAGCACATACTTTGATTTTCTTTTACTATACGAAGAATGGTCGCACTGGGCAGCTTTCTGAGTGCCTTTTAAAAGGAGATAGAAAACTCCGCCATTTTGATCCCTTATTACGTGTTGCCTACATCTTGCCGCAATATTTTTAATAGGTGCGTTTTAATCATCCGCTTCTGCTTCGGAATTGTCGGTTTTCTTGTTTTAATCTGACAGGTTAAAACGACTAAACCGACAATTCCGGAAGCAGAAGCGGATGATTAAAACGCACCTGATATTTTGCTTGCTGCTGTCAGTGTCAGTAAATCTTATTTTTGGAGTCAGTTTATTGCTAAAGAATCAGTTAGCTCACTCGGACCAGTTGAAAGTTCCAAAATACCTTCCACTCCAGGGATACAAATTCAGGATACGCAGAAGACTGCTGTTTTATTATAGGCGGTTGTCATATATTGTATTATCCGAGTTGCGCAGTGTATAAACTGGAACATTGAGATCAAAAGTGCCGACGCAGAGTGAGCGATCTGATTCTTTAGCTATAAACTGAGGCATAGGAATCAAAATGGCCGCGCCCTATGTTGGGCGTGTCGGACCTCTCTCTTGCACCGTATAGTAATCAAAGTATAAGGCTGAAAGTTGGTTTGTAAACACATTTTTACTAAACTGATTCTGATTAATAAGCACTTGAGAGGCAATAAGACCACCCGCTTTGAGCAATCTATATAACTATATAATATATGTATTATTGATAACAGGCCCACAGGGTTGCCATATCTAAACTGTCAGTTCCCACTTATCAAAAATCAAAGTATGTGCATCACACAGTGGAATGTTCACATCGTTCAACTTGGAGAATAGGGCCCCTGATGATTTGACAAGATCAATCATATAGATAGTTATATAGATTGATCATCTATGTTTTTAAAAATAAACATAAAGCTTATGCTTTGAAGTAAAAATGTAAGTAATTATTTTTATTTTTCTATGTAAAGACTGGAAATTGGTTTTGAAAAACTTTTTTGCTAAACCGATTCAAATTAATGAACACCTGCGGGAATATGGCCGCTGGCAAATGACCCGCTTTGAGCAATCTATATAACTATATATGTATCTTTGACCCTGTCAATGAAAACAGACCCACAGGGTTGCCATATCTAAACTGTCAGTTCCCAGTGGTAGCATTTTGACAGTTCGTTGGAATGCCTAATATGTGCCGTTGACACAGATTACCCAGATGCGAAAGTTGACAAAGAACATCAAAATTAAGAAAGAGATAAATGGCCATACCCATTTAAAGGTCTCTCGTAGCAACTCGTTTCCACTCGTGCAGTTCCGAAAGTAAAATTTGTTTCATTATGCGAAGTTGCCGATGTTCCTAGGTTTTCTGATGTTGTGTGACATTGGAATTTAAGTCAAATGAAAATTTACATACATTTTTTAGTTACTACAGACGTTACATACAAATAACGCATATTTAAAATCCGTTAAACATAAAATAATACAAAACCATTTAAAAGTTTATAGTTTAAATTTATTAATGACAATCAGTGACACTTTAAAAAATGCGTGAAATTTTAATTTTTTATGTGACAACCTTGCTTAGGATTCTGGAAATAATTTGTATAATTCAGGGCTGGTATATCTAAGGGGGTCGCGACATAGACCCAGTAAATGGATGAGGGGGTGACTGAGGCTAGGGGGGAAATAGTAGTCAGCTTAAGTTGGCAACACTTTTCTGACGTTCGTTTGAACGAGCATCGAGCATAATACAATATGGTACAAGTGGAATGAACCACTGTTTTCCTCGTCGTAGTCCAATGTCGAATTAAAACATTTTGTACTTTTTTATATACCAAATTATGCAATTTGTTTCCATTTTATTTTAATGTTACATGAATAGGTACATGTGTTTGTGCTGCGGTAAATAAGTGTTCATGTGAAAATTATCTCTTAAACTACATTGTGATTGCACTCATCTCAAAACTGAATGCTGTAAATCCAGGATTTAAATCTTTCATAGTGTTGCTTGGGATACATTGTAAAAAAGGTGTTGGACAAAACGTTTACAACCTAAAATTGCATGAAAAACATGATAGAAGAAGGAATTTTACCTTTATGACATTCTCTTTCAACATTTTTAAGTGACTTTGTGGTTTGGTGAATGGACTGTTACCACAGTCAAAAGATTCAAAGTAAAAAAAAAGTGACCAAGTTCTAATAAGAATACATAAGTTGAATATGAAAATGTAATTACTTGATTTAAATGTGATTTAATTAAGAGTTAAATAGAGGTTTCATATAAACAAAGTGCTGTAAAATGTTAGTAAATGCAAAACCATTATTAAAGAGGAATTAGTTATCATCAATAAGATATTTTGTAGTAGCTGGTCTCTATAAATAATAAACTTGAAAGACTGAATTAGTAGTCACTTTTACACTAGAAGTAAAAACAAACAAAAATGTGTGGTTGAGACTAATTTATGTATTTAATAAAAACATATTTAACATAAAAGCAGGTGTTATTTGAAATGTTTTATTTTAGTTTAATAATCTTTATAAATTGTGGGTACATTTGATCCGAATCTTGCAAATACTATAAAATGCATATGCTTCTATATGGTTAGTATTGGAGTAGAAGCACAAAAGTTTTGAATAAAAATATAGATACCGGAATACTTTGCTTGATTACTAAACTTTGGATGTTTTTGTTGTAGTCTGCTGTTAACACTATTGTCCTGAAATATTAAAAAAGCTAGACAAAGGTTTGTCCAACTCTTTTGTCAGCTTTGTTAATCTATGCTACTGTTATTCTGCATGCAGACATTTTTTACTGGAGATTTTCTCTAAGAACTGTATTCAGTTTCAAATTTCGGCCAGTTTTAGGAAAGTACCTCTGTTATAAAGGTATTTCAAATCCATCCTTTGTAAGATGTAGACAACAAATACATGCTAAAATGTATAGAAAACAAATGGCAAGATATTACACAAAATTATTTAAATTAACTAAAAACATACAAATGAAGTGAATAATACCTACCAACAATTTAAAAAGACCTAAAATAAATAGACTTAAGGGACTGGAGCTCTAAAAAAGGGAGCAATAATTTGTTATGCATTATCTATAAGAAAATTGTCTTCATCTCTTCAATTACCTTTTAAAATAAACAAAACTAAAACAGCACAAAATTAAAAGTGATCTACTTTTCCCGACGTATTTTATGTACATTTGAGATTAATAATTTATTAAATTGAAATATTTTATCCTAAAAAATATGGGCATTTTATAATGGAAATGTCATTTAAGAAATGACATTGATTTTTTTTCTTATATTGGTAAACCTGGCGACTACAAGTTGCCACGTTGCCAGATCAATGGCGACTACTATTTCGAAAAAAATGGCGTCCAAAATGGACTCCTATGTCGCGACCCCCTTAGATATACCAGCCCTGGTATAATTTGTTTAATATAGTTCAAGGATTTAAACACTCTTGTCAACATTTTTCTTATGACTATCTTTTAAAGTTATTTATTCGTCTTCGAATATTTTACCTAATAAAATTCAGCAAACGATATAAATTAGCCAAAAAAAATAGAAAGGTATGTATTTTAAGTAATAGCCCTAGAGCCCACTGCAAATTTTTACCGTCATCTGATAACGAAATGAAAAACGCATGTAAAAAATTATACTTTACCAAATGGCACCTGTGCCAATCCCAATCCTGAGGTTAAAAAAAATTATTCTATATTAAAAAAATCACAAGGCATGACTGCGCTAATTTTGTTTGCCCTTAAAGTTTTCCCTAAAATAACATATTCAAATATATCTTGACATATATATCGTTAAAGAAAAACATTTTCTTCCCCTTAACATCGCACAATAACATCTGTCCACGATTAGTAGGTAAAAATCTTTAAAAATATGAATCAATTTTGGCCGAATTAAAAATTTATTTGTATGCCTATTGTTGTGATTCATTTTTACAGGTTGCCATAGAAACGACAAAAAACTACTGACTATGGTTTAAATGAATTGTCTTATAAGAGTTTATAAGGTGAGTTCGGGCTACGCACTCTTTTCACTATATTCACTCCTAAAGTACCTAAGGCGTTCGGGAACGGAAGGAGTTAAAATAAAAGTTCCTTTTTGACCGTTCGGAGATCGTGGAGTGGAGTGTGGATCGGGCATGCGCATAAGGTGATTTAAATAGATAATAAGATAATTGTGACTAATTCTAAAGAGAAAATGCTTTTTATTTGGTTCTCGTGCATACCATTAATATGGAAGAAACTTATACGGTTGTAATTGATAAGTACGATTAGGTTTTAGATATTAGTATGTCACATTGACAACTGATATTAAACTCTGAGAGTAAAAGGCGTAAAACCATATGCGCACTCCGTCTACGCCTATTTACTTCACTCTACTCTGGAGTGCGCAGCCCGAACTCACCTATAATAATTATTGATGATCTCTGCAAATGGTTTATACAATGCCATCCTTCTTCCTTTTACACATGCACAAGGTGTAAAAGGTAGGTACACATACTAATAATTCAGGTTTAAAAGCTAGGTTCAAAATGAATTAGGATTGTAATTTTCAGGGCAAACACAATTGTCGCTGTCATATCTTACCTGATTTTTCAAATATAAAATAATTTTTTTTAGCCACTTTGCTCAGGATAGGGATTGGCACAGGTGCAATTTGGTAAAGTACAATGTTGTTACATGCCTTTGGAGCATATTTCATTTCGTTATCAGATGAAGGTC